TTGACAGGTTAAAAAGGTAACCACCAGCTTGTTACTGCAATATCATTTGCTCTCTACATCACAAACCTAAAATACGATTAATTAATATAATCAGTCATAAGTATGATTGGTAAAAATAGAGTAACTAGTATTACTAAACTTTGGAGTAAAGGAGTGGAAAGAGAAATAAATATCTTGAGTAAATTTTTACTGTATAAAAACATAAGAAATTGTTTCTCTATAAATTCACAAAAAGTTAAAAACAATTACTCTACTTCAACTTTTATATTTTCACCTTGATTGGATTTACTCCAGCGCAACTTAACTAAATTTTTTTTCACTCTTAACAGTGCTTTACAATCACACCCCATATTTTGGAATGAAATAAGAGGTCAACGTCCATCTTCTTGCAAGTTGCAACCATATAATCTGGCCGATGACCCAATCGTCCAAAAGTAAAAATAATAATGCGACTTGAGACTGTGACAAGATCTGTCCATTGATATTTTCCCCCTTTTCAACCTTCTTTCAACCCATATTCTGATCCAACTTGCTGGCATCAAACAGCTTATACGGATTTGTCTTTGACATGTTTTTCTCTCTTCATTATACTGATGTGATGTTTTGTTTGTAGCATATGTTCTTATCTCCATGAAGATATACGTGAATGTGACTAAAAGAAGCTGTACAAGCTTTCTAGAAGTCTTATAATTTAAGTATTTTCATAAGATGTTATAACAGTCGATGGAAGTCCTGAAAAATGCCAAAGTCATAACGATTTCTTTTTATATTTTACTTATTTGTCATCCGAGTATTCAACAAGAACCAAAAGAATATCACAACATATATATGAATTCATGGAAACTTTTAATAAAAAGTCAACATGTAATCCAGTGAATCAGCAGCATAACTTTGTATATGAACTAAATTTTAGATAAAACAACGTTTTATGAGTTATAAAAACATCGTTTCATGAATTGAAATCAATAGTATTATTTTGGCTTCTTACATCCGTTAATGTTCAAGAAAAACTTACATCTGTGATCTGTTACCAAAAGAATATGTATCTACGTAGTGAGGTATATGCCAGCTTTGAAATTTAGGAACTAAAAGACGATAAGGTAAAAGCTGAAATAATTTTTAAAAACAATATAGAAGTCTATGTCTAAAAGTTTGGAGGTTCATCCAATGTTTAATTTCGCTATATCCAGAACCAGTTCTAGACACGTACCTTTACAACATGCAGTTAACGTGAATCACCAGTTCAGACTTAACATTCAAACGACTAAACAAACCACATTAACTTTCGTTCGAATTAACAACCATGGGATCAACTACAATAAGAAAAAAAGGATATATCACTCGTGATAATTAAAACAACAAAAATATTCCCACAGAAAATATGCTACCATTCATAATTTAAAAAATGGTAAACCATTCCTTGAAAGAATATTAAATCACCGGTAACCACACGTTTAGGATATCTGAATGTAGGTAGATTCAAATTCAGTTTGTTTAATGATGCTGGAACACCATATTACCACCCGACCATGTAGTTTCTATTCATAATTTAGTGGCTTGTGCTTATATTGATGTTTGATTAGGAAACAATAGATTGAAAGATAGCCACTAAATTAGATAGCCATATTCATAATTTAGTGGCTATCTTTCAATCTATTGTTTTTTAATCAAACATCAATATGAACACAAGTCCCTTATTTTTGTCTAAGAAAACTCTTTAGTAACGTGGCATATAAGAAAGAACGTCAAAACCACCAATGGTTGAAACTTGGCCCTTGTCTTATTATGTTTCGTGATTCTTCTCCCAATCTTACAAAAAGGTCGGTGCACGATGCAAGGCTGGTAATGTTCGCTTTTTTATTTATTTATGGTGGCATTGCCCGGATCACAAGTAAAGATGTTGATGAGACTCGATACGATGTTAGTGTGAAGATCCTCTATTTTCGTTACACTCTAGGATGATGAGGTGAATCTATATGCTATAGGCTCTAGTGCCTGTCTATTTCTTCATCAGACTCATTGTCATGAGTGCTAAAACCCATACTTATTTTATACTTTTGGGACCTCCCAAAAGACACATTGAGGTTTGATCGCGTGTTGCTTTGTTATCTTCCCTGCCCGCTTTAGGGACCTCCATGTGTCAGTTTTTCTCTATTCTTTGCATAGTTTGGTAAGGACATCCAATACAATTATTTGTTCAGGTTTTGGTTAAACATTTTGGTTGTGAAAATATGAGAATAATTAAAGTTAAATCTAGTTTTGGAAAAGTTTAACGCGGTTTGCCGTTTCGCTAAATTAAATAATTTGTAATTAGTTTTCTTTTCTTCCATTTCGTTGCCAAATCTTTTAATTGTTTTTTTTTTGATAAACCAAATCTTTTAATTGTTACATAATTGTTAGACATCACATGTGCAAAGCAATTGTTACATTCAAGATTGTTCGCTCGAATCAGTATGGTATACTTCTAAAATTTATTACCGACGTAAATGGTGCCTTTCTGTAAATTCACATTTCCTCCGACTTAGATTTTGTTTATCCGAAACATCAGCAATCTTAAGAATGGTATAGTATTAGTAAAAAGGAATTAACTAAAAAAAGAAAAATGAATTCTAGAGGACTAATAAATTTGACTCTTTGTTTTTTACCCTTCTTTTCCACTTGTCCACGACCACGAATAACACATCTACTAATATTTTCTTCATTTCTTTATTTTCTTCTTCTTCTGTAATTAGTGAAATCACAGCAGAATCCAAGGTAGAGAAAATGGCTCACTGTTTCGTTTTAAATTTGATGTAAGAACTAATTTTTTTGTAAGTATAAGAAATTATTTTTCTCTTAAGAGAATAACTGAACAAGGCAACAAGTAAGGCCACAATGTACATGAGATCAACTCTAATGGGCCTAGGTTTCAAAAAAACCCAACTAACCGTAAAACCCCCTACACAAGTTTCTGCTTAAACCCTAGAGACTAGAATCTCGCGGAGCTTCATCGTGTGTTGGTGGAGAAGATTCTTCAACCGTCCAAGACCGTCTCCAACATTCTTTTACCGGAAACATCTTTCCAGGTAAAGAGCCTCTCTTGATCCGATTCTATGAACAGAGCACCTCCCATTAAAAAAAGACATCATGTGTACGTTATGAGCTGTGTTGAGATCTGAATCCTTTAAAGCTTCTTTTAGCCATTAATAACTTTGGTTTTCTCATTCCCAGATCCCTTTAGAGACACTTGACATACCATAACAATCTAACTGGATTAATTTTCTGAAGAAGACGAATATGGAGATGAGTTAAGAAAGATGGAACTTGGTACTGTCGCTGTGGCGATCATTGTGTAATCTACCCATCTTAGGTACTTCTTTAACTTTCCCCTAGAGGTGTGATACAGCTAGGGAGTTTGCATACACCTTTGTGTTCAGATTCTATATTGCATAATTCTTTGATTAGTTTCCTTGCCTTTTAGTGAAAATCTACTACATATGGGTTCCGCAAAGAGAACATTTACCTCGGTGCCTTCATACCGAGGACCATGAAAGGAAGCGAAGTAGTGAGTACCATGAGGGAAACAGCATTGTTCAATATCTAAGACTTTCTCAAAAATTTATATTAATACCCTTTAAACAATCTTTAACTACTAATTAACATAGAAAAATTTCTTAGATAGACCTAAAATAGTTTTTGTCACAAATATAAGCTTTAAAAATAAAAATGATCAAAATATACTTAAATATTTTATCAACTATAAGTAAATATACACTTAAACCTTTTAGGTTAACCAATCCTATATTTTTTGTTTAGAGTTGATGAGTGAAATGTTGAGGTAAGACTTCAAATTTTTAAAAATTAAAAAATTAAAAAATTTCAAAATTTTTAAAATAAAAAATGTTATTTTGGTCATTTTAGTTTTTGAAATCTATTTTGTGATAGAAAAATTAAAAAGGTCTATTTGAGAGATTTGTCCATTAACATATGTCAAAAAAATTCCAAACTTAGAAGAAATCTCTCAAATGAGAGTCTCCTTTTGTCCTTTTTTCAATTTTCAACATTTAAAGAAAAACAAACATTGATTAGAAATTTTCTTTGAAATACTGTACTGGAATGGTCCTGAAACGACGTAACAAAATAGTCATAAACACAAAAATTGAACTACCAGTAGGTAATAGAACTTTATTTTTTATTTAGCAGCCTTATTTATCTTTTAATATCTAGATAAATAAGTAAAACATCCTAATCGTGTAAGAGTGGCTATATAATTTTACATACAGATTAAGGAAATATTAAATTTTGCATATTTTCTATACAAAAATACCATTACTGATAAAATCTAACCACATTTTAACCAATAGAAAAAATAAAATAACATAGAAAGTTAATAAATTTTATCTTTAAATCATCAAACGACACTTATTTTGAAAATTTCCAGTAATAAAATGCGGAGAGAAAAGAAAAACATATACTAAAATAGAAAAGAATATTGTATTAAGTGGTTGGAAGCAGGTTGATCTTAGCATAAGACCTTTTCATCCGATCACCAGGATTCGTAATGCCTCTAATGCCATAAAGTATATGTGCAACATCAGAGGGTCATATTGTTCCCATATCCCGGTTATTCATAAGCTACTTTATAGAAACTATTTTGATAAAATCTTGAAAGAGTAAAAATATAGTACTACTATTTTAAAAATTAAAAACCATTCGACTACTTCAATAATTTTGGCAATAAATGGTAAGAGAGACTGAACGTCGGAAGGGAAACAACGTGA